TGATGGTTTCCTTTGCTGTGAAAAAGTTTTTTAGTTTGATACCAACCCATTTATTGATTTTTTTTAAAAAACAGTTTTACATAGACCACAATATCTTTATTTCATGTGGTGGTGAGGATCAAACACAATGCCTCACACATGGAAGGCAAGCACTCTACCACTGAGCTACAGCCCCAGCCCCAGCCCCATATTGATGCTTTTAAAAATATTTTTATTTGTAGATGGACACATTATCTTTATTTATTCATGTGTGGTGCTGAGGATCAAACCAAGAACAGCAAACATGCTAAGCAAGCACTCTACCACTGAACTATCAGCCACCATTTTCTGATTCTTGATATTAACATTTGCTTTTTGCAAATCTTGTTTGGAAGTTGGCTTATAGTTCTAACTCTAAAATTACTCTGTAATGGATATTTCATACAAGTGAATTTATACAACAGTAGGTCTTTTGTTTTTTACCAGTTTCATTGACTTAGAATACTTTTTTCAGGGATCCTCTGTGTTGTAGCAAGCATCACTATTTTATTTCTAGTAGAATTTTGTTTTATGACCATGTCACTTAGCCAGTTATCAGTTGCTAAACCATAAAATGCTTCCACATCTTGACAACTCCAGTACTACATGACTATGGGCATCTATTTACAAGTTAATATTTGGACATGCTTTTATTACCCTGCCTCTTTGTGGTCTTCATGAATTGTGCCAATTGTACCATATCTCTGTCTTATTCATGCTGTACTTTCTGACTTGTCTGTTTTTATTCACTTGATCATGTTTATTCAGAGATCACATAAAATGAATTTTTATTTTTCATGCACTTTCTCTGACTTTTCTGTCACCAACAGTGTTTGCATGGTGATTATCTTGTTGAGATATAAATTCTCCCAAGGTGAGAATAATATCTGATATCCACACCTATTCTAAAATGATTGGAAAATATTAATGCCTAATAGTTGTTTTAACAAAATTACTATTTGATATCAATCAATATTTTTTGTTAGTAGATTGGCCTGTTAAGACTTTTATTCTAACTATATTTCAGTGACAAAATATAAAATTGAATTCACTTAATTCAATAGTAAATTCAGTATGGGAAAAATCATCTTCTATATAGATTTCCTCAACATTTATTATGTAGCCAGAATTGGGATTTATAGATGTGTATCCTTACCAACTGAAAAGCTAATATCACTTATTATAGAAACTTAATCTACTCTTCATAATGCTGGTATAGATTATGTTTTGTTGCAATTGAATTTATATAAAACTTGTTGTTTGAGTTTGTGTTGAATATTTTCAGTATCTTATTTTCATATTGTGTTTTTTCATACTTCTTTTATTCATGTACATGGATGACCTCACTACAAAGATGAAAAATGCATCTTCAAAGCATTTACATTTGAGAACAAACTATGACTGTTTTATGCAGAACTTTTTTTTTATAAAAAGTACACAAGATACATTTGAAAAAATAGAAAGAAATCAAAAGAAGTTGGAAGAAAATGTAGTAAACTTTCCAAGGCACACACAGAGCACTCGAGTAGAATGAGGCCAAGGAGTATGGTGGGAATGTGACATTGAACATCGAGCAAGATGGGATTTAGAGGAGAAGCAAAAACAAGTATTTCTGATTTTACAGGCTATCTTACTTATCTGCA